AGTTGAGGCATACAGGGAGAAGACACCTGTATTCTCCCTACTTCCTGTCTGCCAGTCTCCTTTATGAACTTCCCACTGGGTAAACCTACATGAAAGCCAGAGGACAAAAATCCTGGAAATGTAATTTGCAGGAATCATTCCTCTGAGATACTGAAAATATATCACAGGGACATCCTGAGGCATTTGAATTATTTTACAAACATGAACAATCTAGGTTTCAGCACCTGTTAGGTATACTTCAAGTTGTTTCAAGTTGCCCATTAAATGCCTCATATAAAGGAAGCCCTGCCCTTGTTGATACATTTTACTTGATTTAACTGTATATTCTGTTCTCCTTGGTCCACAGAACTTAAATTCATTCCCATAATGTGTCATGATTTCTTGCTTGTTCAAATTGGCAAGAATTTGCAATTACATTGTATATCAATGATATCTTATTTCCAGACCCTGAAATTCTCCCCTAGGTCGTCCGAGGACCTTTCTTTGCAAGGCAAGTTCCTCTCTGAAGTCATTAAAGAGACTTTTTTTTTTTTTATTTGACAGGTAGAGTTATAGACAGAGAGAGAGAGAGAGAAAGGTCTTCCTTCCGCTGGTTCACTCCTCAAATGGCTGCTACAGCCGGCGCTGCACTGATCCAAAGCCAGGAGCCAGGTGCTTCTTCCCAGTCTCCCATGAGGGTGCAGGGGCCCAAGCACTTGGGCCATCATCCACTGCCTTCCCGGGCCACAGCACAGAGCTGGACTGGAAGAGTAGCAAATAGCACTAGAACCCAGCACCTATATGGGATGCTGGGTGCTGCAGGCAGAGGATTAACCAAGTGAGCCACGGCGCCGGCCCCAAGGGTTTCTTTTAAAGAAGCTTTATTTTTAATAGCCTAAACCAAAAAAAAAAAAAAAAAAACCTAAATGAAAGATCTCCGTGAGTGAGATCCCAGTGGAAAGAACAGGTCATCAAAGAAGGAGATACCTTTCTCTGAAGGGAGGCGAGAACTTCCACTTTGACCAT